TCGCCACTCAAGCTTCCCATACTTAGTTGTTTCCCCAATGATCCTCCAGATTGTGGGCTGACGAGTCCACTCCGGATTCCTTGATTCTGACCTGGGAACAAACTATCTCTCCAACCGCCTTTCAATGCTTCCTTCTCGATATCCATTCCACCTATGCTTAATCTGGGAAGATGTCTCATTCCCATTGGCATTGGTGCCGGCCCTTTTTTTCCACCAACGACCTTAACAATCACAGCTTCATCACGAAAGGTCTTGTATTCTGCTCCCCGGCGAGTGACCCTGAATCTCATCTTCTTCTTTGGGTCATGGCCAATCTTCTCAGTTATCTCTTGATCAATAGTCCAAAGTCGGATGTCCTTGTCTAGTGACCAGGTCACCAACTGAAACTCTCTGTCGTCGCCCGTATCGTCCCGTTCGCCCCCTCTCCATCTCCAAAGAAATTCTTTGACGTAGTCGGTGTGATCTGAGAATTTATGTACGGGCGTAGCTGGTTCGTCTGCCTTTGCCCTGCGGTCCCAAAGATACAGGGATGTATCGTCGCGCTGGGGCATGGTCAATAGCCCTCTCCCGAACGGTGTATGTCGGGCTCGCCACACTGGGAAAGAAGTATGGATGATGCGTTCAGGTGTGTCGTCTGGACACTGATCATAATCCCAGAACTTGACGGTTCGATCGAGTGCACATGTCACAATCCCCGATGGTCGAGTCCTATTCCAATCCACCCCGTAAATCTTTGTTGAATGAGCGCTGATTTTGCGAACCGCACGCATACCCATGCGGTCATCCCATATGTATAGATACCGGTCGTGCGAGCTGGCGAGAATGTGCTCGTTTTGTCTATTATATTTGACTTGCGTTGCACCGGCGAACCAATCACAAAAGCTCATGACGGGTCTACGGGGAGTTCGGAGGTCCCAGCAGTGCACGAAAGAGTCGATGGAGCATGTTGCAAGAACGTTCGGCTGGTGCGCAGAGAAATTAATGTCCGTGATTGCGCGAGTGTGGGAGTGTAGGACCAATTCGATAGCCTTGCGGGATGGAAGGGCGAGGTTCCAAACTATGGCCTTTTGGTTCGAGGTCGAAACTACCCAATGCGAATGAGATGCATGTGGAGACCATTGAACGTCTGCGACAGACCAAGCTGTTAAATGTGGAAGAAAACGAGGGGGGTCGTAGGGATTATCGAGGTCCACGATGTGGAGCCCTAATTGACTATGGAGAGGTCAATTTCCAGAGTCCGTGGGATTGAGAGTCTGGGGCTCAAAATGCAACTTACGAAGCTAAGACGACGTCTCGGCTACTGGGTGATATGGACCTGCTCACAAATATTAGACCAGTCACTACATGTACTTACGCTTTCCCAAACAAATAAATAAAAATTGGCAAGAACCCACATAGAGCCAACCGGCGCATCAACTTTGATCGACATGTTCAAATTGAATGTGGGTGAGCCGTATGCCGAGGAGGTATCCCCCTTCGACAGGGAAGCTTTCGGGGAATTCATGATGATTGTCGCTCAATAGATCCGGTCTGAGGTATCGTGCTTCTCGAATCTATAATATAGGGAAAAGGGGCCTCATGTATCTATTTACATTCCAGTGGATTAGCGCTGCGCAGTCACCAGAGCCTTGGTCTCAGGCTGTTTGGGAGTTCAGAACGCACTTATTATAGATGCGCTCAAAAAGAGTGTACTCAATTCAATTATAAGGGTAGTAGGTACCAAAAGGAAGAATGCGGACTTTACGACTTAGCAAGATTCTCGCCCCCCTTCCCCTCCGTATGTAGACTTGACAGGAGTTGCAGAATCCTCTTAGCTGTGAAAGCACTTGTCGTCGGGATAGAGGTAAGCAAGTAATCGTTCAAGAAATCGCCACTATTCGCGCCGTGGTCGAAGCAGCCCATCCAACCTGCTGAAGCAGACACACACACACACACACACACACACACACACACACACACACAAAAGGCCTTGTATAAAAGAGCCCGAGAAAAAAGGTAAAAGTACGTAATAGATATCGTTGTTACCGCGTTAGCAGCCGCAGAACCGATGATGGTTTTTAATTGTCTTAGAGTCAACAGAAGAAGCTTCTGTCAGAGCGAAAAAAGAAGGTGAGACGCAAGAAAACCAGCAACTGTAAAGGATCTTCGCAAGAAGGCGGTGAGGTGATCGATGAGCAAATGGGCGAACGAGATGGTGCATGTGGGGAGAAAAGAGAGGAGAGGACTGCGGTAGTGGCGGGGACTTGAATATGATGTATTCAGGGTCCTTAACCAGCGTTCTTAGGATAGGTACATGTATGTAGTAGGCACTGTACCTTTAACCTCTGTTAGTTAATTTGGGGGGAAAAGCCGATTGACGGACTCCCGAATCTCCCGATCGCGGGTCCCTTGCGAGCTGTAAATTAGGGTGCAGACAAAAAAAATAAAGGTTTAAGAAGTGAAGAGATAACAAGTAAATTCCCGTCAAACCCTCTACGTTTTATTAGAAAAGGCTCTTGTATGTGGTATCCGCAGCGGTAATCATGTGTTCTGTTCTTCCAGTAGGCATGTAGGTACATGCCAAAGAAACCCTTCGATCTACGATCCGTCAACAATACCCTTCCTTGGGCACATGTTTCAAAGGCTGGCAAGCTCTGGGTCAATTCTAAGGCGATGGAAAAGTTGGGATAGTACTACATGTACTCTATTGGCATGAGACTGAGTACCTACACTTATGACAAAGCTCTAGAGTGGGAGAGATTTCTCTTCGCTGCAGCCCTTTCTCATCCATGCCACTTGTAGCCTTCTAGGATCATCTCTACTCCTCCAGATCACATTATTAGTGTAGCTTCTCTTTATGATACAATTGTACCTACATCCTACTAACCTTTACTCGCCCACTCGCCCACTCGCCCACTTCTCGACTCTCTCTCATTTAGGGATATCCTCTAAATACTTTGACCATTTCCCCCATTATTCCTTGCTGCTCTGATAAACTTGTTTCACAAAGGTTACCCAGAAGCAGGCTTAAAGTACTCCACCTCACTGAACACTAACCGTCAACCGCCACCCCACCTTTATCTTCATTCCCATACAACCCCGCACTCCCTCGTCCATCATCTCGTTCCGCCGCTAAAACACTCGAGATGGCTCTTCCAAAACGCATCATCAAGGAGACAGAACGTCTTGTAGCTGAACCGTAAGTGCTTGTCTCTTTCGCTCTTAGCAACACTCCCATTTCCCCAAAACTGTATCCGTTTTTCATGTTGTGTTCCACGTGATTGCATGGGGCTCCCTGTTTACTAAGCCTGAGAAACTGACAATAATACTATACATACAGAGTTCCAGGAATCAACGCTGTTCCACACGAAGACAACCTCCGGTATTTCGATGTCACTGTTCGTTGGCTCTCTGGCGTTCCTTATTCTCTGGTCCCTTGCTAATAGCTCTTCATAGATTCACGGACCCGCACAGAGCCCATATGAGGGAGGGATCTTCCGTCTCGAGCTTTTTCTCCCTGAAGATTACCCGATGACACCTCCCAAAATCCGTTTCTTGACCAAGATCTACCATCCAAATATTGACAAGCTCGGGAGGATCTGCCTTGATGTGCTTAAAGGTGTGTCTCTAAAGCGCCAGCAACCCAAAACGGACACTACGATTTGGAGTCGGAGTCAGAGTCGGATCAGGCTAGGCCTTGCAAACCAAACAAATAGAGAGAGAAAACGATATATAAACAGGAATGCTAATGTTTTTTTTTTTTTTTAGGAAACTGGTCTCCAGCTCTCCAAATCAGGACGATCCTGTTGAGTATCCAGGCTCTCCTTGGTGCTCCAAACCCGGACGATCCTTTGGCAAATGATGTTGCTCAAAGATGGAAAGAGGATGAAAAGGCGGCCATACAGACTGGTATGTTGATTATTTCTCAAAAAACCTCCCAAACTTCAACGGAATTTGTAGTAATACCGAATCTTCACACGAACAGCAAGGGATTGGACCAAAACACATGCGATGGTCTGATATCACTATTGAATTTACCACAAATAATCTGTGTGCTTTATATATCATTCGACAAACATGACTACCCATTAGCCACTTGCACGAAAGTTGGAGAATTTGATACGGCAATTCGAGGAAGTTGTGCACAAATTATCGCCGGCAGTTTCCTTGTGGAAAAACCTCATGATCTCTCTCTTCTATTATTATTTTTCGGAGAGGAGTTGAAGAAGTTGATCAGGATAGAACGCGTTTTTACTTTATTCCTTTGGGTGTTCCGATTTCCTTTATTGATTCTTTGAGCTGAAACGATGTCTGTAATTTACAGGCTTTCTATGAAAATTGAACAAGTTGTTTCATGATTGATTGAATTTGCTCTACCGGGTAGTGAGTTTGGTACAGCGATTTTCAAACCTAGTTTTTCTCGGCACAATGTATCTATTCAATGACCAGGACATTGATACACCCAAATAGATCCCAAAAGTGGGTTTGGGGGGAAACCTTTTTAAAAGGGTGGAAGTGGTTAAGTAAACTGTTCCATCCCACCAATACATGCATATGTATCTACCCACTAGTCTTCCAGATCCTCTATGCCTGGTACCACCAAATGAAGCGAAATATTGCGCACCCTCTCCTTCATGATATGAATTCCCCTCTGACTCCGACCGATACTCTACCGAATTTGAAAACTATACACACTGACGGAGTTTGAGTGCAAGGTACACAGGGCAAGATGACAGTAATATTAACATCACAGATTTATTTTATTACATACACTAACCGCTTTGGACTCTGACGTTACAACCTCACTGCCCGCTATTTTCAGTACTCATCATAATAAACACGGAGTGGGGAATACGAAGTTATGAAGTAAGATCCTAATCCTACTTAGATGTCTTATTTCAGAAGCCGCCGAAATTGGATATACTATTGCCGTAACCAGCAGGTGTTTTGAGTACAAATAGCCACTCGCTCCCCTCCACTTTCTTCGATCCCACATCAACATCGGCATTCAGCAAAAAACAATGTCTCAAGCACTTCTTACACCCAAGAGTCAGCAAAAATTCGGCTTCTGCGCTGAACACACGATGAGTCGTGCACCTCCTGTCCCTAAGACCGTGGAAAGCCGCCCCATCGATCTTAAAGGTTTGTTGTGAGGCTGAAATAGCGCTCCCCTGGTTTTGTATAGAGATCTACAGGATAGAGAGCGAAGGCTAATGCGCTGTAGCTGTTATAGATACGGGTGCAAGAGAGGCAGATGAGAAAAATCTCAATGTCAACAACGAAGTCAATGAAGGGCAGCCGAAGGTACAGGTGCCTGGCCCTTGGATAAATCCCTGGGCCAGAAGCGATAATACCAAACATGGCAAGAGGAGACACATCAAACCCAAACAACCTACCATTGTCCGCGCTGAAGATATCCGTATCGAGGCTATGGACCCAGACGATCCAAGATCGCATCTTCCGGTCCCCCCACAGAACATACAAAATATACCGCGCGACCCGCAGCATGGTTTAATGAGTTGGACAGCCTGTTACGATGACTCTTGCCCTGTCCATTTCTCTGATAAGAATGGAAGCGGCTGGTTCCCCAAAGCACCCCGTAGGCGGCGGCGCTAGGATACTGGACTTGGTGACATTATTTTCTTTGTTTGCTTGCTGGGGCTTCTGGTTTCCTGAAAAAAAAAAACATGATTAGATCGTTTTTCTTCTTTATTTCGATTAAATTAGTTCTATTTTGATTCATGTACATACGTGCAATTTTCACATTTTTTTCTTCTCTGATGTCGACGCTGCGTCATCATCAATCATCACTCGGCCAAATTGCATGGCATTTAGCGCAATTTGAATCCTAGGCTCCCACAGCACACGATGATTTGTATATTTTGAACACACGTAGTGAGGATTATTTCGTCATGACGAACCGCCATAGGCGCTTTCATAATACTAGAGCCAGCTTTATGCATGTGTCATAATTGCAAACATCAGGGAGACCCTCGAAAATATATGCCGCTTGCCTTTTTTGGGCTATAGCGCTACCGTATATTAAAAGTCAAGTGCCCTCTTCAGACCTGGTAATCATGATCCATACATGTAATGAAAACAAGACTTCTCATCATCGTCCCAGGTGCAGCCGGCCCTTAGTTCCTGAATATGTCAGATGCACTTTTTTTTATCAGTTTCAAGCTTTGAAATTTAGATGGGCACGATGTGTTGTGGTACCAATCATGGATATGACAGGTTTCGAGGCTTCGGGTTATTTAGGGAGGCCTTCCCAGATTCTTTTATCTAAATTCTAGGGAGTAAAGTTATCATTCAAATCACCATCAGATTCTGAATATATATACAGCCTGGTTGGCCTCTCCAAACACAACCAGAATGGCTGTGCATGCGGAAGGAAGTCATCATTGTAACGTTAAGATTAGGTTTAGGCTAGGATCGGAGCTAGCAGCGCAGCGGATCAAAGTATACTAGGTGAAACGGGCAAGGCCTGCAATTTATGGAGCATTGATGCGTCGGACATTACATAAATGAGATGCCATGGCATCCCTTGAATGAGTTGTTGCAGACTGTCATAACCGAGTCAGCGGATTACAGCAACTACATGTAACTACATGTAACTACATGTACCTTGACGTACTTCGTACTTGAATTAAATTAATTATCCGCGATGTCACTCAGACGCAGCAGAACCGAATTATTTCGGAATAATGGAATCATTCCTAGATACTGCACTAAAATTGTACCGGCCGCGGGTGCATCACGCTTTTTTTTTTTACAAAACAGAACCTCATGCCTCTTTGACTAGAATCGGAACACGCACAGCCCAATAGCATACACGAATATAGTCGTGATCGGGCGTTCTTATATTAGCACATGAGCAACGGGTTCACATTACTCTACATAGATATAATAATACATACAAATAAAGAAGAGCGATAATCAAATTAGAGTTGGCCCTCTGTTATGGATAACACCAGAAATTCGCCATGGGCACTAGGTTGTACGTATTGAATTTGTGGGGTTTGATTTGGACCAGTGAATAAGGTAAAAGCTTAATTGTTGACACTTCTAATATGAAAATGTACCCACTCACTCAAAGAGATCATATAAGCCAGGGGATAATTTCCACTACTAGCAAGACTTTTCTACTATGGCATCACACATATTTACTTCCTAACATCCGCCTTTAAAGCATTTACGTCATCTCAGCCTTCACATGGGTATAAATCTTGGCAGTAAAAATCAATCAAAGGTATTGCTTCAACAATCACTGAATATCTGGTGAAGTTAATAGGGCCTTTTTCCCCAAATCACATGATTCTTTAAAAGATTTCCCTATAAAGGTATCGCAGTCTCTTGCCCTCATATATACCCAGGAAACGAAACTCCACACCACTGACCATCCCACAAATGTTTTAATTTTGATTTCTAGCAGAACCTGTAAGTAATAGCTATGGCAGAGCCTGTTGGAAATGAGATAATTTATCCAGCTGAACATTTAACTCTATTTCTTTTCCGAGTCAGGCGCAGTAAGAGGGGCGGAACGGTATAATAGGATAAGAGCGGAGTGACTTTCTCCTACAAAACACAAACCTCATTAGTTTGAATTCACGAGATCAGACTAATTTGATTTTAGGGACGTAAACCTACCACCACCAGCTAAAGATTCGATCTTGTCCTGTTCAACCTCGGAAACCTTATCGTCGTTGAAAAAGTACCAGGTCTTTCCGTCCCCGCCCTCTTTCTTAACGTAACTGCAATAATGCCCCGAGTCTGCACTAGCCCCTTGATGTGTGATAACACCCATAAGTTCATAAAGCCCGCTGGGGTTGCACCCATCGTCCGCGGCGAGACCGGGGTCCAATTTGTTCTTTAATTCTTGTTCCCAATTCGGGGCATTCGCATCGTCTGCTGCCACCTTTATCGCAGCAGCGGTCTTCTCGGCCTCCTCTTTCGCTTCTGCAGCTTTACTTTGGGCAGACCCAAAGCCGCCCATGCCAGCATTTCCGCCGGCAACATCATCGGGGCTTGCTGCACTGCGCTTGAGTCTTTTACGAGCCCGTTCACGATCTTCTGCGTCCTTCCGAAGGTCGCGGAGGCGGTCGCGAACAGGGATCAATTTGGCACGGAGTTCGTCGGTGCAATATTCCGAGGCATCAAGCTCGAAAGGGAATGTTACTTTACGCATGATCTTGGCCTTCTTGTTTATTTCACGTTTCCAGTAGAAACGGACAAAATGACACTGCAGCAATATTAACAAACCGAGTACTTCAGAGACTAGATAGGTCCACCTACAGTTAAATACTTAGGTAGACGTGTGATTTTACTGGTTTTAGTGTAAATGGCATCTCTCCCTAGGGTAGGACTATTCTTTTCAATTTCCTCAGTCAAGCCAGCAATCAGGCCGTCGCGCAAGTGATTGATGGATTGATTAATGTGACATTTCAAGTTCACGAATGACTCGGTAGTCTCAACGGGCGGTTCATCTGGGGTATCTTCGTTGCATTTCAGAGTGGAAACCATCTGCCCGGACAAGTACTTGTCGACAAATGAGACGTCGCCCGAAGATCCGTCTGTTGATTGAATCTTTAGCTTTTGGCGAAGCTGTGAGAGTATTTGAGAATAGCACTCCTCTGCATCTTGTTGAGAGTATTGTCCGTTCTTTGCCTTTTGTGCGAATTGCGGAAACGCCGTCCGAAGAGCACCAAGAAACATCATTGGTGGGAATCCCTCAGTAGTTTGGCCCATCTGTTTATACAAGTCCCTCAACGCTGATGTCAAATCAGAACCTGCAATTCCACCCAAACCAGACAATAAAGAGCTTGATCCACCAGCTCCTCCAAAAGCTCCTGCGGACGGGCCACTACTCTGATACTTCTGCAGCTCCTCCTGAAGCTCTGGTACAAATCGAAGGGTTTGAAGAGTTGAGTTCATGTAGCAGGTATTGCCCAGATTTTGCAGTCCAGATGGAGTAGAGCCTCCAAACGCAGCGAGCTGGGCGTCTGTCAAGTCTTCGAGAAACTTCATCTTTTCTTTGGGCGCTTGAACATGTTTACCAGCTGGGGTTCCCATCATCATGAACTTATGCCCTGGTTTCAGACCCAGTGAAGAGAGATCCGTATCATCTTTTAGTTGTCCGCCTTTAATCAGGACCTTCTGTCGTTCGGGTTCGACGCCAGTGATGGAATATAGCTGGAATTTAAAAACTTCTCCGGGTTGAGAGATATCTACTTCAAGCTCGTGGCGTTTTCCGGCATGGGTAACAACAACTAAAAGATAAAATGTCAGTGCGGGGTGACAGTTGGAAGAAGCAAAGGGAGGTGTTTTACCTGGTATAGAACTCATTTCGGTATTTTGAATTATAGCAAATCCTTATTCTTTCGGATAACTCGGTGGGGTAGATACGAAGCCGAGAGAGAGATGGAGAAAGGGGAATGATGAAGATGGATAGGGAGGATCGGAGGTGCTGGCAAGGAGTGGAATGAAGATGGAGTATTGGCGGGGTGACGTTTATTGAGCCACTAAGGTCGCCACAAGAGGCTAATGGTTGTGTGGCGTTATGTAGTATGGAAGGCGAGCTACCTACTAGTACCGGGTATTGAGGGTAAATACGAAGAGAATCTTGCTGATCTTAGATTCTCGGTATTTATGGTTAACCCCCGGTACCTGTACCTACATTTACTTATCGAACGGCAAATGTTATATCGAATACAGCCAGTAATACTAACTCAAAATATGTTTAATCCAGAGCGACTGGTATCTTGTATTCAGGCATTACGGTACCTGGAATTCGAGGACCATGTTCTCTAAACAAAATTCTAAAGATGTGGGGATATAGATGCTCTAAAGTAACTTTATTATGCTGCACCTTGATTGTCATTCATACACCATTCCGAAACCGATACTTACCAATTTTAATCAAATAGCATAATTTAGTAGGGAGTGCTCTATCTACCAGTACGAAATATATGGGATGCCACATATTAAACATCAAATTGGCCTCATATAAACCAAATAATTTGCTCGTTGTTTTGTTAGGTTTCAGCAGTGAAGAACCAAATAAATAATATGGATACTCTGCGTATTGGATACTGTAAATTTATATAACCGAAACCCCCAAAACCAAAAGTAAGCGGACCGACTCCGAATATTCACATCCTATTGTCGCCATGGCCTCCTCTACCCAGTAGAAGAATTTTGGGACCACAAGTAAATTTTATTTATTTAATACAAGCACAACACGTGTGAAATCATGTTATGATGTACCCCAACCCCAAACCCCCAAAGAAAAGAAAAGCCGTTTATTTGAGCGGGATGAACCTTGAAGAGTGGGTGGCACCGATACCGGGACGACCGTGCTTAACGGGTTTGCTAAAAATCCGTAAACGCGTCAGTATTCCGACTTTTCCTAATTGTCTCTGTACTCTCCACCCCCTCCCCCTAATACCCCATATACACCTAAGGAATGCACGTACTATGTGATAGAGAACTCTCCCAAGTAGAATCCAACCATTTCAGGCTTGATCTCAACCTGGTTGAACTCCTTTCCGGAGTAAATGCCAATGACTGATCCAATCATCTCAGGGACAATGATCATGTCACGGAGGTGGGTCTTGACGAGGTCAGGCTTTTCGTTGGGCTTGGCCTCCTTCTTAGCTTTGCGAAGCTTCTTGATAAGTCCCATCGGCTTGCGCTTCAAGCCACGGTTGAACCGTCTACGGGCGCGGGCATGGACGAGATCGCGGAGCTCTTCTGAGGAGAGATCAAGGAGCCTATATTTAGTTCATTAGAGCCGAGGTCGTATATAGCGAATAGATATGGGGAGACGGAACTGGTCGAGGTCGACACCGCGGTATGAGAACTTGCGGAAGGTTCTGTTCTTCTTCTTCTCTGTTGTTGACCAAAGTGTTCCGGTCAGTACAAATCCACCACCCCACCACTCCTTCAAAATCCTAGGGAGTCGTACCGGCAGCCTCAACGGGGTCCTATCATATAATCATTAGCTAACAATTCCACCACCACCCAAAGAAGATCCGTCCTCCTTTCGCCCAAAACGACGGATAGCTGGGAAGCTCACGTATTCGGTGTTATCAGCCATGGTTGAAATTCGTGTATATACCTTGTGACGGTCGATATCGAAGGGCACGATAAGAGGGGGGGGGGTGGTCGGTTGGCGTTGGTTGTCGTTGGATTGTTTTTCGCTGAAGTTTCGCAGGACCAAGATTCGATGTGTGAGAACGATTGTGGGTGAGACTCGGACTGTGTGAGGGCTAAGCCCTATGTCTTGGCATAACTTCCTAAGGTCATGTGCAATCACTCTACGTCAATAATTTTAAGGAACCTACATAATTCTTTACTAAACACAACATATAGAATAATTACAACCATAGTTAGTTTATACTAAGACACAGTTGTCCTATAATGCTCTCCAGCGAAGTCATCGAGTGACATTTTGTGACGCATTCACCAACTGGCAGGGGTAAAAGGATAGCGTCGATCATTTGAATGACTGGCTTTAGAGGTGTAGAGTAACATGAGTTACCCGGATGATCCGAAACCCCTGACAACCAACGTCACTTAGACATTATTGACAAACAAGCTTCCGAGCTCCACGCCATATTCGTGAACAATGCTCGCGCTCGTCGATTACACCTCTGACAGCGATTCTGAATCAGAACAAAAACGGTCCACACCACCTCCCCCACCACAATCGCAGCCACAAAGACCCGGACTTTCCGCATTACTTCCAAAACCCAAGGGTGCACGAAAAGCTGCCGGGGGTGGTGGCGAGGATAATGGCCCTAAAAAAATAATCGTCAACCTTCCAAAACTCAAAGACAATGAGGTCGATGATGGACCTCCGACGAAAAAAACCAAGATTGGAGGGGGTTCAGGTTTGAGTTCTATGCTACCAGCGCCGAAAAGGTCTGGAGCAGTAATGAAGAATGCGCCCCCACCACCACCACCTCCAACTCCTCCTCCATCCGCTCCTTCAGTAGCTCAAGAAACACAAAACGTAGATGAGGGAGCAACCGAAAGGGTTGAAGAGGATAAAAAACAATCTCTACGTGAAAATGAGGGTGTGAATAGATCAACTAGATTTGTTCCACAATCAGTAGCTAGGAAACCTATTCAACCTACGAGCTCGTTTAAGCACTCGGGAGCTATTAAAGGTGCCGCATCCAAATCGACATCTACAAAACAAAAGATTTCTTTATTTGGGGCAGGTATGATTGAAATTCTCTGCACGTAATGACCAAATATAATTAACAAAGAAAAAAGGTCCAAGCCTGTCGTCTTCCACGAAATCAATAACAAAATCTATAGCCCCAGGGGAATATCAGCCAATAATGCTCACGGCCGCAACACCCGCGAATAAACCAAAGGGAACATCTGGTGCTCAAGATGAAAACCCCTACTTTGAAGAGACAAATGGGGCCATAGATCCTGAACCAAATTCAGTCGGCACCAGTGTCGAAAATGCACCACAAGACCTAGAGACAGTTGCACGAGAAGCTGGCCTAGATGACGCTGCAGTATGTGTACTAGATATTCAAACAAACCTCAACACTAACGTAAGAGTAGATGCGCCAGCTCTATGGCCGACGAGGCCGCGGAAATGCCCCCATCAATATCACCAATTACAGTGTGGATCAGGAATATAATAATAATGAACTTAGCAGGTCAATGGGGTTGCTAGAAGAAGTAAAACCTGTCAGAAGCATTGCTCCAGGGAAACACCAACTTTCCTCATTACTCAATGGTATAATCTTATTCCTTTATAAATGAAGAATCTCTGGGTTTTATTGATTTGCTAATCGACCTTATGTGTAGCCGCACAATCGCAAAGGGGTGCTTTGGAAGACGCTTTTGCCCAAGGGAAGAGGAACAAGAAAGAGGCTGGCTCCAAATATGGATGGTAAAGGATCTTCCATAACGATCCTTATAGTGCAAGCCGAAGAACAGGAATATATTATATATCAACATTATCGACTATGGTTCATTTTGAAATCATAACTCTAGAAGGCGGGATATAGCTGTAGACGAGGCAATAAATTCAGCATCCTTTCACGAGGCCAGCTATGCTAAAGAATTTATGGTTTAGTTAAGTCATCAAACTGTTGACAGATTGGGATGGAATTCTTTGAGACATCAGCTTGATTTACATTGCACCATGGATAAATGTATGTATCCAAATGGTAACGAGCAAGCCTCATTTCTATATGAATGCAAAATGCAAGTGTAAATAAATGATAGTATTGATCTGAATATGGATATGACCGCTTATCCTAGGCTCTGCATTGTGCATTCCAAGGTATGTTGACAGAGGAGGGAGAAAGGATGGAAATCCATCATTAAGTACATGTAAGTACTTGTAAGAAGTATATGTATCTACCACAGAAAAACAGGCCGCTGGTACATACATGACTACATTTATAGCCCATGTTCTCGACTTGTTCGTCCATATTCTACTCTAGTCTTCCCCAGTTCTCCGGCCCGTCCTCTCCGACTGGGGGCTCGCACGAGACTAGACCCAACTACATCAAACTACATACATGTACTTGTACATGTAGCCCCGCACACCCAAAAACAAGTCCCGATTGGGGTAATATAGTTTCTTTCCTTTCCTTTTCTTTTCGTTTCTTGCTCATAAGACTGGGTGGCGTGAATGAGACTGTAGATTACATGTACATATAGTACTAGAAATGGGTGTGATGTAAGTACCGTAGCACTGCCGCATTTAATTGAATACCGCATTGTTGTAGTATTGTTATAAGTAATAGCATTGGCGGGGTATTTCGGGATAAGCAGTAGCATTGGTGTGGTATTTCTGGTGGCAGGTTGGTATTGCTATAGTATTCCTTTAATTTTTCGATGTACATGCAAGATTTGGATGTACACCTAGAAAAAGTTTCCCAGGGTTTAATGTATCATGAAGCATCACGGAATTTATCACCACAATTCTTTTCATCAATAGTTTACTCAGTTCTGATTTTTATCATCGGGTGATAAAGATTTAGGGAATACTTTTTTAAAATAAATTTTTCTTTCATTCCTGGATCTCGATCTATCATAGTTCTGTCAGTGGCTCGTGCAGCTGGAGATAGTCAGATCATAATCATTATGATGATGATGGTGGTGGTGGTGGTGGTGGTGATGCTCGAATACATGTACCTACATGGTGTTGAACTGCTCCCTAGCTGGTGGGGGTGGACATAGTACTAGTAGGGGGCGGCGGGCACAACATTACATGTAGTATGGCGGGCAGTTAACCATTTAACCGTAACCTACCAGCCAGTTATACGCCTAGTATTCCTATGGTAGTGCTGCAGCAGTTCTACGGCATTTTTCCAAATACCCCAACCCCAATGAACAATGCTGCATTGAAAACTATGCCGAATTATCTCCGTATTGCTAGCAATGCGGCATTGTAACACAGACTGCGGTAACACTCCGGTATCGAATACACCCCAGAACATCTCGCGTCGCTAATTCATCATATTCCCACAATCCCGTAATGCTGACCACGTAATCCCCTAATTAGTATAACATGTAGACCTATGATCTGCAACTTTTTCTGTGGACTGGCTCAAGCCTTATTTTTTTCTTTTCTTTTTTTTTTCTTACGTATACGAGTACTGAGCTGCGTACAAAATAGCTTAGGAATCAATTAATGATGATGCTTGAGGAATTTTGGGAACCAGGTTAGGGGAGCCAAGTTAGAATACGGAGGGGTATTAGAGTACCGGCCAAATATGTAGTAGTGCCAGAAGATAATACATATCTACGAGAGATTATATCATGAGAGATCTGCCCATCACAAGTCAAAATCGAAGATAGTCCAGACCACACTCCACTGGCAAGTACATTTAGTGAGAATCCGGTCTACTCTCCCCCTGTTCGCACCCCAACACCTGAACCCGAACCAGATATATCAATTGTCTTTCTGTGGAAAGATAACATATGGGTAGCAGGAATAGAGGAGAAAGTCGAAAAGTGAAATAAGAGCAACAGGGAATAATACACATGTGAAGAATGGGCACGGTGCCGCCATGACTAGCGACAAGCGATACTCCTCCTGAATAACTCGAGAAAATAGTGTACAAATAGAGGATACGTCAAAGAGAAAACGTGCACTATCCCAGTGGAAAATTGGGCATTCAAATAGTTGGCACATAGTGGCCCTTTTATATGGCAAGAGAAGAGAAAATGGGTAGAGAGACATGTCAAAATTGTTTTCTCCTTATGTTGAGATGTGGTGGATGGAGGAAAGTTCTAGATATATTGTCATAACTTTCGGGTTGCAACACCATGAGAGATCTGTATCATAAACTATCACTCAACTTATCAGCACTTTGGATTATAAAGGATCAGAGTTCCGCACTACCCTCTGAATGCGCGAGGTTTGTAGAAGTGAATAAGGCTGGGCCGGTTAGAGTCACGATATCTAACGCGCCTATAGATCTATCAAGCCAATTGAGCACCTAAACACACCGTGGTCATGGCCTTGTTTATATTATTAGGTTTACTGATGTCCGGCACCGGAAGCTGCTCTCACTACATGCAGTAATATATACCGAGCATGCGTCATTTATTTATTGACACCTCTCCATCTGTTATTACACGTACATGTAGGTCTTTTTTTTTTTTTTGGCGAGGTGTCTTGAACCACTACCCTTCCTCATATACCTATATTTTCTTGGCCACCTTTCTCACTTCTTTTTCTTCTTTCTTCTTTATTTAATCTCACTTAATTCATCCTCATCTTGATCTTCGTTTCTTGAAAACATTGGCAGGGAATCTTCCTTCTCGACTCTGAATCTCTCGTTTACCCGTTCGAGTTCTACTTCAAAGTCAAAACAATACATTTCTTATCTGCTTGATATGCCTTCCATCGACTTCAATCCTAGGAGCCGTTGGCCATTTTCAGCATTCTTCGCTCCCAGCACCGTCCCTATTTCTGCTCCTTCCCCTCCCCCGAACTGCTCCTGTAATTTTCTCGGAATGGGTTTTGATCAAGCACATTCTCATGAGCAGAGTTTTTGGCATCAGTGTAACTCCCATGCAACCGAGTTCCTCCCACCTAGCCCACAGCTTAGCCAAACCACACCATTCACAATGATGAAACCTAATTTCGACACCCAAGATGGAGCTCCTTCTTCGGATGCTCAGAATTCTGGGATCAAGGATGCCGTATCAGATTCTCGGAAGATCAACGAGGCCTCAGGAAAGACCAGGAGCTCTGAATATCTTGAGTCCGGTTTCTTCAATAAAGATGGTGGTATCTCCAGGTCTAGTAGCCCTACTCCTTCTGAGGCACCTCTTACAAATGAAAACTTGAGCCACACAGGAAATAATAAAGACCAAATTCAAGGAGATAGCCCTGATTGCAATTCCACTTCTGTTACGGAATCTTCCAATCCTATTACGCCTCCAAACAAAACCTGGAGACCAAGGATTGCTAAAACTTCTGCTGGAGATACCAATGGAAACCCCTCATGGCTGTATAAGAGCACAAGGCCTATCGATAAACCTTGGAGGAGAGACTCGGCTCCGGTGATTGAATACTCCTCCTTGAAACCACGGTCTTCTGGGGACAGAACCGGGTATGCTCCGTCTTCTAAGGATGATATACCTTTGGTTTCAAATTTGAACGATGTCGTACCTGAGCCTGAGCCTAAGTTTGAGCCTGAGCCTAAGCCTAAGCTTGAGCTTGAGCGTAAAACTGTTCTAGGTTGTTCGCAGTGCCTCACACAACCAAAGTTGAAGGTTAGCCCGTGTGGATGCCTGATTTGCTTAAACTGTGGCGGGAGGTATTGGGGAGCAGGGCAATCCGGGAGTTCTGTTTATTGTGGTTGTGGTGAGGTTAGTTACGCCTATTTTATCTTGATGGACGATTGTTCGATCGTTGAGACTTACATCCATTAGGCAGTTTCATGCATGATAAATTTCGATGCCATGAAGAATAATAACGCTCCCAGACATTATGATATGGTTTCGCAAATTGCGGCCCCTCATATTCTTGCTTACCTTCCTGAGCCGGCAATTAACTTACCATCGATATCTACAACGCCTTACAACCTCTTTCCAAAATGGCAACCTGAGCAGTTCCCTCAAAAATCTCTCCCAATTTCACCCGTCGCATATCCGACACCAAATATCACTCCTGTGCCTCCAGCTATCGCCCCTGCTGACCCCAACATCAACCATTTCTTATTCAGAGATGCCGAGACTGCGATACAGAATGCGCCATTTATCGAGTTGGGGAGGCACGCTTTAGCTCAAAACTGGAGCTGTGTTAGAGTGGGCAACGTATGTACCGGAGTTTACCTCTATTATCAACCTCAAATACTGACTATATATTGTCTTTGGGATTAAAACAGATACCGTACAATGTGACGACTACAGAGCTCACCGACTTTTTGGGCAAAAATTCGAATATTGTCCCAGATTCTATAGGCAGTTTAGGGGTCCATGTTATCATGGATAGATCTACTGTTAGTGTGCCCTTTCGTTCTTAGTTACATCCGCTCATTCATTGGGTATCTAGGGTAAAACTATGGATGCGTTTGTCGAGTTTCTCAACGCAAAAGACGCTTGGAAGTGCGTCGCGCGCCGCAAGAGTCGTGTATTGGGTAATAGACATCTCACCTTGGATGTTGTAGACCCGTCAGATCTTATGAAGGAGATATTTCCAAGAGCAAAAGGAATTGTCTGGGATGGTGTTATCCCAGCTGTTCTACAGGATCAGTCAGGACTCAGTGGAATGGATCCAGTGATTTTAGGCCGTGAAGAGCTAGTCTTGATCGTTGCTCACGCAAAAACCCCGCATAGAGTTTGTCTAACACCCTCAAATTCATTCAAAGTAAACATTTCAACTAATGGGTTTAAAGAGTCCATTTAGTAGGAAATGTCTTCAGAGACCATTTCAGTCACTTCTTTCGATTGTCTCCAAGTTTCCCTGGTTTTCAGTCGATATCTACACCCTTGAACAACGGGACTATATTTTCAATGCCCTACTTCAAGCAACTGATATACTTAAACGTCATATCAAACATGGAAAATCTATGCCAAACCTGGATTCTGACTTGCTGAAAAGTTTAGTCAGAGTTGGCGTTAATTGTGCAGGATTTACTGATATTCAAAAATATGAACTAATTAAAGCAGCTGAGTTCGGAGCCGAAGGGATTCGGCTTGAGAGAATCATACCGGGCCTTGAAGGATTTGAAGCAATTGGTAGAAGGCCAGGGGTCGATGTTGGAGTTCTTGAGGTTTATATGAAATTCTTACGTAAAGCAATAGGATTTAGATGCTAATATCAACACTTTGTGCTTTTAGTTATACGCTCTTCTTCTCCGGCTATCTGTCTCTCCTTTTCTGACAGAAAGTTCTCCATCTCCGGCAGCCCTCTTCACTCTCGCCAAGAACGTTAAGCAAGGGGATGGCGATGGTGATAAGTCCAAACTGACAATGCTCGAGGCAGCAGTTCATGAATGGTCCATCATTGAAAGGGCCGCTAGAACTGTTTTACCGTCAAAACCCCCGTTCGCTAAGAATATATCTGGGACTAGAACCGAGTTTTTGCGTGATGGCTATTGATCACTGCAGATATACAAAGCGTCAATCCGAAAAAAAAAAAAGACCAACTTTTGAGGATATTTCCCGGGGATTTTTTCTTCTTTCTCTTTTTCGTTTTTTAAGTTTTTTCAACTTAACTACATAGTTGCTCTGTCTTTGAGATTTTTGCGTTGATTGGTCCATTTCTACGATGATTGCAAACACAATACGGAGGAGCGCTCTAGCGGCGAGCCTGATAAAGAATTAAAGTACGAGAACAGATATTCTCAATTAATTAGTTAAGGAGCTCACTAAAAATGTTTCAATTTCAAAAATGACAAGCAGCTCAGCTCAAAGGTTTGGAACAAATCAAAATAGATTGGTGAATACATATAGTGTGTGTTCAGAGAAAATAATGTTTACAAAGGAAATCATAGCTATAAGTTTCCATGGCCCCGATATATAAAGCAAGTATATATGGTATGGCGACCTTGTATTTATATGTGCCATCAAGCACGCCTTCCCTTTGCCAGAAATAAGCTTTTCTGCATCTTAATTACCTCCCCTGTAGGGCCTTTGACAACCATGGTTACACCCTTTCCAGGCCCGACATCAACAATATCAATGTCTACAAGACCGGCTTCCCCATACCAACGTTTGATGTCTTCCTCAGAAAATCCGTTATGGGTCACGGTGTGATGTCCCGAACGCAATTTCACAGTATTTTCACTCCCCTCGGACTCCTCGAGACCTTGATGCTGGTTATCCGGGTGGTTTTCATGTGTATGATGTTCATGTTGATCGCTATGTTGGTGTTGACTGTGAGAGAGAGTTCCATGAGGGGACACTGGATCATGCGTCCTGAAGTCGATAGTCAACAATACACCAGTTCCTTTTTTAAGGCGCTCGACTAAACGGTTGATGGCAAGTGGAACATCGCTAAAATGGTGTAATGCAAAGGTGCTGATAGCAGCGTCGAAATCATGATAATCAGGGTCGGACAACACTGGGTCGAGCTCATCGGCGCATAGGTTGGCTACAATAGCGCGCATCTCTTCACTTGGTATTCCTTGGTCTTGGACCTGGAAAATATCAGTCCCACGTCTAAAATTCATCCAAGTAATAAAACTTATACAAGAGGTGTGTTACCGATTTGTTGAACAAGTCCACCATACCCTCAGAGAGGTCCATACCAATGAGCTGCTTTGTGTACGGAGCCAGAATCTTTATAGGCCGCCAGTGTTGTTAGCTATGAGGTTCGTTTTTCTATTGCAAATTCGGGAAACATACCTTCGAGATCAGTCCAGTCCCGCAAGCGTAGTCCAGCAAACGAGTATTATCCTCATCCCAAGCCACTCCAGACCATTCCTTACGTTTAAGGAGTTCGTCTCCGACAATCTGGATTACCTCCTGATGCGAGACACTGTTGTAGTTCTCCGCCTGTTCGCTAGAGATTCGTATAGACTGGTTAGCTACAAGCTGTGGGATTTTATTTGGAATAGGATATAAATACTTGAAGAACTTTCTGTTCACTTCAGTAATGTCCTCGACGACTGGGGCGGTGCTAGCAGATGCCATTGTGGTGGTAGATGAAGTTTGAAGTGGGGAATATTGTTATGGTCTGGTGATTGCGGGGTATTATTCAAGCGTTGTACTAATGAATGGTTCTGAATGTTGTTGGGCCTTAAGCTTCAGCAGTGGGAATTGTCTCTTTTATACCAAAGTAGCTTCAAGATACTTAGTAGTTACAAAGTTTCACGTGTCCGAAATAATTATTTAAAAATGCGGTGCCCCTGTAGTATTGGTTGCCCTGTAATCTACTAGCCGTATTAATGACGAACCAATTTCAATACTTGCGCAGGTTTTTACCAATAGACCTACACGGGCAAGGGGTGTGCATACACAAATGTCCGATATCTGATGTAAGAACATACATGTAGTATGGATGACAGAACCTTGGTGGATAGATAGAACTCTCTCTACGGTCTACCAACACGGAGTAGTACTGTCGGGTTACGCCAAGGCGCCATGCGTGGGTTTCGGAGTTCCGCATCTTCGGAGCAGCAGATTCACAAATTCAAAACCCCGGAACCCCCGAGCAGCTCGTATCGTTACAACTATTGACTACCGCAAAATCTGGGTTCGTTCGGACGGTTGCCAAGAGGACAGCTTTGCAGAGGAGCTGAAAAATATCCCCCTTAAAGGAAGAGATCAGAGCCTTTTACAGGATTAAAGCCAACACCGCTCTTGGCAACCGTCCGAACGAACCCAGATTTTGCGGTAACCCCAGGCTCCCACTGAGAATTTATGGGCCAAGATACAAGGTTTTATTGTCTTCTCCCTGGGTTGCGTATCGTTAAATTTTTAAGAGGCTTACGTTCCATTCCAGAACACGTATTAATTATAATTACCGCAGGTGCTGGGGTTCTTGTTGGCTTGTAGTGAACCTTGGTGTATACCTGCTCTCCAGTCATTTCCCAGCGGTTGCAAAGTTCCACATTAACAGAAGCTACTGTATCCCCTAAGCATAGCTGGTGTATCAAGGGATCTTCCCTCTATCATCACATATCACCCAAATAGAACTCAAACCCATTCCAACGAGCAAATATACATAGACCCGGCAGTATCACGATGTTTTTGATCATCCCTACTCGTGCGTTCGGAATTCTTAGTTGCAGCGCGTGAGTACATAGCTAGGACAAAGAAAAGGCCGGGTAATAGTGGCCCATTAGATTATGCAGGGTCTTGGCAAATAGTGGGGTTGGTTCTTGCATGAATTGAGGGGCAGTTTTTTTAAAATCATCCCCGCTAAAAGACACCTTTCCACGGCTACACCAGGCCTCAAATTCATCTGCATACCCTTAAGCTTAGTTGCGGTGAAATTGCTCCAATCATGGCGTCCGTAGATGCTACAGACCCCTCGAACGCCTCAAAGGCCACTCTGAAGCTTGAGAACGTGAGTGTTTCCTGACAGTGCTGACTCACTATTCCCGATTCTTCCAGCTAAACCAGTTGTCCACTCGCAGACAGAGAAAAGAGATACCCTCATCGCTATCGAGAAGAAGTACCAAGCTCAGTGGGCCGAACAACGCATCTTCGAAACCGACCCACCAACGTTGGAGGAGGACCCTGCGTATGATGGAGAAACCCTCCGTAAGAACCACCCAAAGTTCTTTGGGTGCATGGCATACCCGTACATGAACGGAAATCTCCATGCAGGACACTCATTTTCGTTGAGTAAAATTGAGTTCCAGACTGGATACGCAAGAATGACAGGGAAAAGGGCCTTATTCCCTCTGGGTTTCCACTGCACTGGAATGCCGATCAAGGCTTGTGCTGACAAGCTCACGCGGTTCGTTCCATAAAAACTATAACATTTTCTGTAGGTTCGCAAAGGGTAAGCTGACGAGATTTATTGGCTAGTGAAGTCGAACTGTTTGGCGAGAACTTTGAGAACGTACCGGCGGAGGATGACGACGAGCCGGCTCCTCCGACAAGTGCTGCTGCGCCTAAGGACGATGTGACGAAATTTGCGGCGAAAAAGGGAAAGGCTGCAGCAAAGGCTGTCAAGCTCCGGTATCAATTCCAGATCATGCTTGCGCTGGGCATTCCCCGAGAAGAGATCCACAAGTTTGCCGACTCCTCCCACTGGCTCACCTACTTCCCTCCCATCTGCCGTCGCGACTGTACAGCTCTTGGTCTCCGTATTGACTGGCGCCGCTCCTTTGTCACAACAGATGCCAATCCCTACTATGACGCCTTTGTCCGCTGGCAGATGAACCGTTTGAAGGAGCTTGGAAAGATCAAGTTCGGAGAGCGCTACACAATCTACTCACCAAAAGATGGACAGCCTTGTATGGACCACGACAGAAGCGATGGGGAGGGCGTTGGCCCTCAGGAATACACAGCTATCAAGATTAAGGTCTTGGAGTGGACAGAGGAGGGCAAGAAGGCTTTGGAGGGGAAATTGCCAGAGGGCGCAGAAGTTCACCTGGTGGCCGCTACACTGAGACCGGAGACGATGTAGGTCCTATTTTTTGCCGCTATTAACTACAAATTGTGCTCCCTCTAACAATATGGCAGGTACGGCCAGACATGCTGTTTTGTCGGCCCCAAGATATCTTACGGAGTTTACCAGGTTTCACCCACTGAGTTCTACGTCTGCACCGAGCGCTCTGCTAGGAACATGGCTTTCCAAGGCATCTTCCCCGAGCGTGGTGTCTACAAGTCCGTTGCCACAGTCCTTGGGTCAGCCCTTGTTGGGTCCCTTGTGTATGCCCCTCTTTCTGTGCACACAGCTGGTGTCCGCGTTCTTCCTATGGAGACAGTTCTTGCCACCAAGGGAACTGGTGTTGTTACTTCTGTACCATCAGATTCGCCAGACGACTATGCAACTGTCACAGACCTTGCCAAAAAGGCTGACTACTATGGAATCAAGAAGGAGTGGGCTGAACTTGAAATCGTCCCTATCATCAACACCCCATCATACGGGAACTTGACTGCTGAGTTTTTAGTGAAGAAATTGAAGATCAACTCTCCAAAGGATGCTAAACCATTGGCAGAGGCTAAGGAGCTGGCGTACAAGGAGGGTTTCTACCAGGGAACCATGCTCATTGGTGAATTCAAGGGTGAGAAAGTAGAGGCTGCGAAACCCAAGGTTCGGGAGATCCTCTTGAAGAAAAGGGAAGCCTTTGTTTACAGCGAGCCTGAGGGCCATGTCCTGTCCCGTTCAGGAGACACTTGTGTTGTTGCTTTGTGCGATCAGTGGTACCTCGATTATGGAGAGGCGACCTGGAGGAAGCAAGCCGAGGGTTTGGTCGGAGAGAAGCTCAAGACCTATCACGAGGAGACTAAGCACGGTTTCCAAGCAAATCTTGCTTGGTTGAACCAGTGGGCTTGTGCCAGATCTTACGGACTTGGAAGCAAGCTGCCGTGGGACCCTCAGTTCCTTGTCGAGAGTTTGTCTGATTCAACCATCTACATGGCCTACTACACGATTGCGCACTATCTTCATAGCTCTATTGACGGAAAGACCCCTGGTCTTGCCGGAATCACGGCTGAGCAGATGACCGACGAGGTGTTTGACTACATCTTTACTCGCCGTGAACTCGGCGCGGAGGCCCTCGCATCCACCGGAATCAAGGAGGAATGGCTCAAGAAGATGCGCCGAGAGTTTGAGTACTTTTACCCTCTTGATGTTCGTGTCTCTGGAAAGGATCTCATCCAGAACCATCTCACGTTCTTCCTGTACATCCATATTGCACTTTTCCCGCCACAGCACTGGCCACAGGGTGTCAGGGCGAACGGACATCTTATGCTTAATGGAGAAAAGATGAGCAAGCACACTGGAAACTTCTTGACGCTGGAAGAGACGGTAAAGAAATTTGGTGCCGACGCGGCGAGAATTGCCCTCTCCGACGCTGGTGATGGTGTTGAGGACGCAAACTTTGAAGAGAAGGTTGCGTCAACATCGGTTCTTAGACTGTAAGTTGCTAAGATTTGATTTTTTCCTGGACTTGTGCTCATATATATTCAGGTACACTTTGAAGGAATGGTGTGAGGATATGGTGAAGGCCGCCGAGGCTGGAAAGCTGAGAAGCGGACCTAAGGACAACTTTTGGGATAAGGTGTTTGAGAACGAGATGAACGAGCTTACCCAAGCTACAAGGGAAAACTACGAGTCGTAAGTTTGATTATTCTTTGCGAGCCGTCGTCCATTTTTTGCGGGTTCTGACCTGTACTTAGGACGTCTTATAAGCTTGCGCTCAAGACTGGGTTCTACGACTTCCAGTCTGCGCGTGACACTTACCGTGAGGCCACTGTTGCTATCGGGATGCACAAAGACTTGGTTCTCGACTTCATCAAGCGCCAGGCTCTGATGATCAACCCAATTGCTCCCCATTGGGCTGAATACATCTGGCAGGATCTGTTGAAGCAGGTGAGCTAAATCCAACTATTTACTTGTAGGCACAAACAAGTCACTTTGCTAATATCATCCGCTCTAAATAGCCCACCACCATCCAAAACGAGCTCTTCCCCAAGCTTTCCGCACCCATTTCCCTAGAACTCACCGCTGCGCGTAACTATGTGCACGCAATCTCCACAAACATTACCTCCACCGAAGCCGCCCAGATGAAGAAGAAAGCCAAGGGCAAGGGCACAGCCTACGACCCGCAGCAGCCCAAGAAACTCACCATCTTTGTCGCCCTCACCTACCCCACCTGGCAAGACAAGTACATTGACCTCGTGCGCGAGGCCTTTGACGAGGTCAAGCTCAGCGTCAACGACAAGGAGCTCAACCCCAAGATCCAGAAGCTCGGAGAGATGAAGAAGGCCATGCCCTTCGTACAGACCCTCAAGAGGCGTCTGCAGAGCGAGCCGTACGCAACGGTGTTTGATCGCAAGCTGGTATTCGACGAGGTCAACACGCTGGAGCAGGTGCTGCCAACGCTGAAGAAGAACACGGGGTGCAAGGAGGTCATCATCGCGGTTGTGAGCGAGGAGAACAAGGCGAGCCTGTCGCAGATTGCAGAGAACGCGGAGCCGGGCAACCCGAAGTTTGAGTTTGAAAACATTGCAGCATAGAGGGAGGGCCATATATATGTCTTTGATGTCTTTAGAGAGTGGGGGTCATGAATTATATTGATGAGTAGTTGATGGGCCCAGTTACCAATAAAAAAAAAGTCTATTAGTGTTTATGAGTACTATTTTCTGTCCGCAAGCTCAATCCGTAATTACAACCGTGAGACAGGTAATAAAAATAAAAAAAACCTTGTGTTGCGGGATTCTCATCCTGCTATCATTGACATTGGATGGCCGAGTGACGCCCCGTGATGTTACCCTGCCCTGTTGTTGCCGCAGTGTTTTCAGTTGCCGCCAAGGCCAACAAAGAGACATCACCAAAACACGGCCCCAGCCAACAACGCGACCACCCAACCACCATCAATCACCCATCACGGCCTTCTCTCGCAGTCAGCCAGGCCTCACCTCTGCCGCCAGAACAAACCATACACACCCACGCATACACTCATCCCTCTCCCTCCCTCCCCCCCCCCCCCCGGTAAAGGACCATCACGATGGACTACACAAACACCGCGAACCCCTTCGCCAATTCCAGCGCCGCCTTCGGCTTCGGAAACAACACCATGTTCGGCGCCTCGACCGCCACAAACGACGAGGACCTCAACAAGTCCAAGCGCTTCAACAATTGGCACACGCGCCAGAACATCACCACGCCGCAGGACTACCCGCTGTTTGCGAACCAGCCCGTGCCCTTCTCGTCCATCCCCGCGAACCCGCAGGTCCAGACGGCCGCCACGCCGTATATCCAGAAGATTATGACGCAGCAGCCGGGGGAGGCGAGGAGTTTGATGGTGAGTAGTACTATCTTTTGGTTTTTGGTTTTTTGTTTTTTGGTTTTGTTTTTGGGGGGTTTGGTGGGGCGGTGGGGGGGTTGGGGGGGGCAATAGGGTATGGGGCGGTGTGCTATTGGTTCCGGGGACGGAAACTTCTTGCGCGCGGGGGTTGTTTATAGGAATATAAATAAGTGCGGGAGTGGTGTTTCGACGGAATGCGTGCTAGACCATGCTGCCTGCCCGCTCGCCCGCCTGTCCGAATGCCTGCGATACTTGCGCGCGCTCTTAGTTTTATATATCGTAGTTCAATGTTTCTAACGTATGGCAATATGTAGGATGCGGATGAACCTCTCGAAGGCCGAAGAAAGGCGGCGTATGTTATCCCGCGATTCAGAGTTTCTACATATATACCGATATACTGACATTCCGGCCAGGCTAAAAAAGAACCTCGCAAACTCGCCGCCCACCTCGCCCGGCGGAAACTGGCCCAAGTCCATGTTTGGCTCCCGGCCGTGAGTGTTTCCCTTCTATGTATCTTTTTTTTTTTTTCATTTGCTCCAATTTGCAGCAGCCAAATACTCACAGCTTAGACCAAGTCGCACCCGTAACCGGACCTCCTCCACGTCGGACGAAGCGCCCCTCCACAGCACCGACACAAACGCGCCGCCGCTCCTCTCCATCTACGACACCCTCACATACGACAGCGCGCCCTCGGAGAAGCCCTCCGAGTGCACCTTCACGCCCACGCAAGTGCGCGTCGCCAACTTCGCCGAGGGGCGCTTCCCCGAGCTCATCCGCTGCCTGCGCCGCTACTACGGCGTCATCCTTGAGCCCTACTCGGGCCTGCCCCCGACCGAAAACAAGTTCCACGACCCCGAGATCGTCCCGCGCGAGCAGCTCGACCTCAAGACGCTCAAGATGATCCAGCCGCTCGCCGGCGCCGAGGGCGGCCCCGGCAACTGGGTCCGCATCACGTTCCGCGACCGCGAGGCCGCCGAGCGCGCCATCGCGGGCTCGGACCGCGGAGAGCTCATCATTGGTGGCCGCACTATCATCATCACGCCGTGGAAGGACGAGGCGGCGAGTGATGTCCCGCTGCCATTCACCGCAACCCAGATGGACATCGATATGCCGCCCGCGCCGCCGCTGCGCAGGAATAGCATCCCGACGCCGCCGTCGCCGAGGCTGGTGAGGAAGACGCCGAGCGGCGGGATGGAGGAGTTTGGGTCGGGCTCGAGTAATGGCGGGGATGGCGTCCTCTATTCGGAGTTTATGCCCGGCGCGAGGCTCATTGTGCCGAAGCCGGTGGAGTTTGCAAAGGCCGATGGGTGGCTGAGTGGGTTGGTGAACTCGCTGGTGAGCGCGCCGAGGAATGTGGTGGGGAACAGTGGCAGTGGAGGAGCGGCGGGTGGAGGAGGGGGTAATGGGTGGGGCGTGGTGAGCGCGTATCGGTATATCATGGATGATCTTGTGGGCATGAAGAGACTCTGAGCTGGCCGGGGCTGCTTGTTGAGAGCGCGGTTTTTTTTTTCTTTTGTGTAATTAATTAGATGTGTTTTTCCCCTTTATTGTGTTAGGATAATGATGGAGTTTATTGATTTTTCAATGTCTTTTTTTTTTTTTTTTTTTTTTTTTACTTTCTGATTTTTATATATCCCTTCATTCAATTGACGAATTTATCGTTATCATTTTCATTATTGCTATATCATCCTCATTATTATAGTTATTGTTATATCATCCTTATTATTACAGTTATTACTACAAAGATCTCTCCCGCTCCACAACCGCAATGATCGATAAGTCAGATCGATGTCTCCTCCCTGGCTGACCTCACCGCTGCCTCACCGCTACCGCTATCTCACCAAATAGAGCACCTCACTACCGCTATCTACATCTCAACACACTCCACGAATAGAACCGCCAATTCCGACCGGGACCAGCTGCTGGGTCTAGAGCCAGCCAGGACCGGGATAAAGACCAACGCTCCCACGATGCGGCTAGCAATTCCATCCACCCAGCGAGCGAGCTAGCTAGGTAGCTAGCTCGCCAGCTGTGGTGCGGGAGATCGCCGATGCGAGAGACTACATATTCTTCCTAGCAGTACCAACGTGCCTTACTCTACATTGCATACCCTACACCGGGAAACAAAACAGAACAGCAATTGCATTCGTACATAGCCTATTTCCACCGTACCTACTCTACTCTCCTCTACTCTACCTACCGGCCACGGGCCAGGGCGGAAAACAATTAATGGCTGATGGGGGCAGAAACAGTAGATCACGGATTTTTTTTTGCGATTCACGGGCTGTGCGTGCGATCGCGTTATCCCTGGGGGTTTGCGGCAGCTGTTTCCTTCACCGCTCGATTGCTGTTGTCTGTTGCGTAGTGGTGGTTGGTGTGGTTGGTGGAGGTGGTGTATGTAGGAGCACATTACATGTGGATCAGTGATATCTCATGATGCCATCCATTTATCATTTTGCTTTACTTATCTGGCTGGCGGGTAACTAGTACCTAGAGGCACACTACTCTAACCAAAGTGCTGATCGCGAGGAGGCAGTCAGGCAGCATGTTGATTATGGCCCCTACATATTGTAGGAGGTACATGTAGTAGAGGAGGTACATACTCTACCTCCCCCACCGCCGAGCTGCTCGCGTGGGGTTCTACCTAGAGTTCTCACCTGCCTATGTAGATCTAATCTTCTTCTTCTCTCCTCGCACTACACCACACTACACCAGCCAGTGACAGTGACAGTGACAGTGAGCTATCATTAAGTCCAGGTGCGCAAGTAAGGGTCCACCCCTCCCTCTCTTCCATCCACCCATCCCCATCCATCCATCCATCCATCCGCTGTCACATATCTGCAGATCCCCTCTCCTCTCCACGGGGGCCGGACCGCACCCTGAGCCAGTACAGTGCAGCTGCTGCCTTGTGGCATGGGCTGAGGGAGGGGAGATTAGTGATTGCGGTGAGAAACGCGTTGGGGGCGATGACGATGACGACGGAGTGTGAGTGTTGGAAAAAGGAAAAGGGGACGGGGACGGGGACGGGTAGATGATGTAGGTATGTGTGGTGATGGAGGAGGAGAGAGGTGAGGGGAGAGAGAGGAGAGGCCGAGGAGGAGAGAGGAGAGCTTCTTGCTGCAGGGCGCACGGCGGGGCAGGTGGTGCACGTGGCTGGGTCATTGGTAGAGATGGAGAGGGAGATACGATACGTAGGAGAGGGAATGACGGACGGTAAGAGCAGGCAGGCAAGAGTATCGAGAGTCTCCTCTGCAACCTCTCCTCCAGCTGGGCAGTTGTAAATGGTATATTTTCTTTTCCACTGCACGCCGGTACTTCTTCCATCTCCACCACTCCTCAGAGAGGCAGGCAGACGAGCAAAACACACCATCCCGCAGCGTCCATTGGGCGCGGCACAGAATGTCACTCGGTAACGATTATCCAACCCGAAACACTTTTTTTTTTTCCCTCCACCAGCGACGTAGGTTCATGCGTACTGCAGGGGGAGGAATCACGGGTTTTATCTATCTGTGTCTCTGTGTCTCTGTCTGCCGAGATTATGATTATTTTGGGGGAAAGAGAGGTAAAGTATCGTATCTAGCCGGGCCGTATAGTCACTTCTTTTCTTTTGAAAGGTTCCCCGGTTGCATAATCGTTGTGAATAATACGGGGAGCCCACGAGCCGGCCGGCGGGCCTTCCAGAACAGCAGAACAGAAAATAAGAATAAGTCGAACAGCAAAAAAAAAAAAAAAAAAAAGCAACGACAAAAAGAAGAAAAGTCAATCCCTAAAAAAGAAGAGAATCCATAAAATCACAAATGTACACTTTTCCTCCGGCCGTGCGATAGTCCCCGGCCCCGCCCCGCGCGCTCAGATCTGAGAAACATCATGTGCTGTCCTTCTTCCCCCTTCTCCTCAAAGGCGGGGAGAGAGGAAATTAATAGGGAAGTATTTCATCATCGCGCAGCTACATACACCCAGAAATAAAACGAGAAAAAAACGTGAGACATTTCTTTTCTCTTCACGACGCACAGCAGCACCACATGGTTTGTATGTAGCCGCACGGGCCACTTCTTATTGCTGCGCTGGTGAAAAGTGATAAAGCCGCACCGCAACCACACCCAGCTCCCTGGTTTGGTTTGGGGTCTTAGGTTTAACGGTAGCCGCGGCTGGCTGTTTTTCTGCTGTCTCTTGTATAGTTTTTGTGTTTGGCAGGGAGCGAGGGAGGGTGTGGATGTGCCGATTGAAACAAATGGGGATCATGGGAGATAATGGAGAGATTGTACTGGAGGAGTGCATTGCAATTGTATTACCCGCGCGCTAGCTGGCTATCCAGAAACAAACAGACACACACAAACCGTGGTATTACATTGAGAGAGTGCGGTATTGGATACCGTCGTCTCGGTTGCCGAGTCTCTCCTCTGTTTGCTCTCATATCTCAAACACATATCAATCTCTCTCCATCGAGAAAGAGAAAAACCTGTTTACAATGTTTCATCTGAACACTGCCTACCTGCCTGCCTGCCATCCTTAAAAAAACGAAATAAGAATAATGCAGAATGACGATGATTCCTCCCCCGCAGATTGGTTCTCCTCCTCGGAGACAATTAAGATCGTACGTTGAAATGATGAACAGATATAGACAAACAAATGAAGAAGAAAAAAAAAAAAAAGAGGCCAATGTTGCAATTGAGCTCGACGATCCGGGTATCGCTGTCTATCGTTGTCGTGCACGTCGTATGGCCATGGTGTGTGTGTGGTGCCCAATTAGATCTTCCGGACGAACGAGTCTTGATGTCAATGGCTGTTCTGTAGATACAGAGAGAGGTACTTAGGGCAAGTACCGCTCTACCTCCTCTACTTGCTCTAACCACTCGCCTGCTCTTCTATGTACTCAGCTCCTAAAGTCCAGTAACTTCAGCTATGTACTCTATCTGCCCCAGCGCACATGTACCATCTACATATATGTATGCACATGTATCTCCGCACAGCAGGACACGCAGCAGGACACATGTATGTAGGGCTGCACCTCTCGCCCGCACCCGGGAAACGAACGTGAGGATAAAAAAAACCGCTACCCAAAGTAGGGTTGCATTCATCTCTCTCCAAGTACTCTACGCATCCAAGTACCTCGTCCAGCTAGAAAAGTAGAGTACCTACATCCAAGCACCCTCATCCCTCCGGATATCGATAAGCGCCCTCCCTCCCTCCCTTCCCTCCAGAAGGGTATGCAGCTCAAATCTCAACACCCACCCACCCTCCCTCCCATCACATCACACACATCCCTTCCCTCCATCGTGCATTCCCGATTTCCCAGTGTGCGTCCCACATCCACCATCCATCCCAGGTCGGTCTGGTATGCACCTCTCACATCCGAGTGATCGTCCATGACGCAAACCACCACCCAACCCAACCCACGCGACGATAAGCAACCGCAGCGCCGGCCAATCAGCCGGTATCGATATCGTCATCGGCAGCACATCACATGCCTGCCCTCTCTGCAAGCAAGCAATCAAGCAAAGCGCCAAAGTGAGGGGAAAGCAGAGAAGAGAGTACGAAACACAAGACAAGGCAAAAAAAAAAAAAAAAAAGAAAAAAAAGAAAAAAGCAAGAGAAAAAGAAAAAGCAGCAAAAATAGGCAGACGAGTGATTGCCGTTGAAAACCCGGATCTGAGCCCTGGGAAGCTTAGGTTGGAAAGAAGTGTGTGTGGGAGTGTGGTACAGACAGATCGACTTACTCTTCCTTACTGCATTTGGGTGTGTGCTGTGTGTGTGTGAGTGAGTGGGTGTGGTGATCAGGATTACGAGGAAAGGCAGGAGCTTTTCTGCCTAATGGGAACGGTGGAAACGGTGATCTGAGATGATCATGATCATGATTTCCAATCCCGAGATTTGGGCCTAGGGGAGAATAGGAGGAATAACCTACAGTGACGGCGTTCTAGAGTATGCATGGATTGCAGTTGCGCGCGCGTGTTCTGGTTGTATGTATGGTTGTACATGACTGAACTGGCAAAACGTCGCTACTGCTCTACTCTGCCTACTCTGCCTACTACCTAACTAGCCGGTCCCGATGGATACGAAATTGTTCGGTGCTTCGGTGTTTTCTCTGCCCGGAGGGGTTGAAAACCATCTCGGTACGGGGAGAGTGAGGGGAGAAGGGAGGGAGCTTCCCTGTAACCCCCCGTATCCCCCGTATTCGTAGCGTGGCGTAGGGGAATTTTGTAGAAAGAAAAGAAGCTTCCCTCCTCGATCCAGATGCGGACGGCAGACCCAGAAAACACAAATTGACACCTACGAGGAGAGGGTTGATCCCTCCACGATAATCAAACGGCCACTAAACTAACCAACTGGTAGAGTGCCCAGGGAGAATGGGGGGAGTGCAAAAACACTGAGTGAAGTGAGTGTGTTTTCGGCTTTGTGCCCAAATCGGATCATCCACGGGTACCCCGGTACCCCGGTATACCGGTAGAATTGGGGAGTTGGGATTGGGA